AAAGTGCTTGGAACAAGGAGGGGGACACTTTCAGCAGCTGCTTTAATTTATTGTTATAACAAGGAGGGGGACACTTTCCGCAGCTCCTTTAATTGTTTGTTATTGTTATCACGATTATTCTTTAAAATAAAGTTATATAGTCATTAACGTTATTGAAACTGACAGCTGCTATACAGCTCGTTGAGAAATGAGGTTAAGTTGGTCGCTATAAGCTACTCCCTACGTCCAATGTGTCAGAGCCAACTTCAACCACGTTTTTATTTGAACGCTCGTTATTTTGTTGTACAGAATCCCAAATATTTTGTAGAATAAGAATCCGAGTTTGCCTATTCCAAAAAACCATTGCTAAATTTAGGGGAACAACAAACATACAAAAAGAACGAAAAATTACCCGTTTTTCAACATAGTAACATTGAAAGTAAGACCTAAATAAAAAAGTCACTCTTTATTTTTTTGTTTATTTGACGATTTTCTATGAAATACAACAACTGCTGATAAAAAAAAGTTGAATTTTGCATTAATAATGCGCGGCAAATAGTAGAAAATCGTATGTATATTTGGAGCAATTTTTAAAATAAGTAAATATTTATAAATATTAATGAAACTTTGTGAACAAATAGTAAAACATATCTCAATTCTGCCCTAAAAATTTTGTAACAATCGATTGCGTGGTTTTCGATTGACAGGATTGTTAATTAAGAAAATTCCAAAAAGGTTATCGCATACCGTTGGTTTAAATTAAGGTTTAGAAAGGGCACACAATTTTTTAGAGATACTTGTCATAATAAATTTTCTACTATTTTTCGCCCATTGTTAATGCAAAATTCAACTTTTTTGATTCGCAGCTGTAAGTTTATAGAAAATCGTCAAATAAATAAAAAATAAAGACTGACTTTTTTTTATTTATGGCTTACTTTCAATGTTACAGGGAAAAATATGTCGAAAAACGGGTCATTTTTCGTTCTTTGTATGTTTGTTCTTCCCCTGAATTTAGCAATGGTTTTTTGGAATAGGCAAACTGGGATTCTTATTCTTCATAATATTTGGAATTTTTATATTTTGTTGAGAGCTCGTTGAGAAATGAGGTTAAGTTGGTCGCTATAAGCTACTCCCTACGTCCAATGTGTCAGAGCCAACTTCGACCACGTTTTTATTTGAACGCTCGTTATATATTTCTAATAATTTTTTAAGTATCAAAAAAAAAATGTACGTCCGCATTACGTCCACAAAAATGCCTTAATTTTAGAATTTTCAAGGTATCAACAAAAAATGTATGTCCACACTACGTCCACATTTGTTAAATTTCGATATTTACAGAACATCATATTTCTAATAATTTTTTAGGAATCAAAAAAAAATGTACGTCAGCATTCCGTCCACAAAAATGCCTTAATTTTAGAATTTTCAAGGTATCAACAAAAAATGTATGTCCACACTACGTTCATATTTGTTAAATTTTAATATTTATAGAACATCAAACAAAATTACTGCTAATAATTTTTTAGGTATCAAATAACATGTACATTGTCAGATTATGGAAATTAAAGTAATGGGTACAAGTTTAAAATGTCATAAAAAATGTGTGCACCGTTTACAAAATTTGTTAGATTTTAAAGTTAAGTCCACAATAATTTTAGAATTCTCAAGTTATCAAAAAAAAATGTACTTGTATGTCCATACTACTCATACATTTACATTTTTTAAATTTCGATATTTACAGAATATTAAACTAAAATACTTCTAATAAGGTAAGATAGGTATTTAAAAAATATACATCCACAAAAATGCCTTAATTTTAGAATTTTCATGGTATTAACAAAAAAATGTATGTCCACACTACGTCCACATTTGTTAAATTTCAATATTTACAGAATATACTTTTAATAATTTTCTAGGTATCAAAAAAAATGTACGTCCGCATTATGTCCACGAAAATGTCTTAATTTTCGAATTTTCAAGGTATCAACAAAAAAGATATGCCCACACTACGTCCACATTTGTTAAATTTTGATATTTACAGAACATCAAATAAAAATACTTCTAAAAAATATGCGTCCGCATTACGTCCACGAAAATGCCTTAATTTTAGAATTCTCAAGTTATAAACAAAAAATGTATATCCACACTATGTCCACATTTGTTAAAGGATACTGCAGGATCCTTATATATGGGAAATGGCTTTCGGTCAAACTTGTTGAAACTTTGGTAGTACACGATGTGTAGATGAAAAGTCTCAAAAAAATTCGTCCTTTTGAGATACAGCTCTTTGAACATAAGTTTTAAGTACGTTTGGCTATAACGCAATGTTATTGTATGGATATACGGATGCACACAATCACATACGCACAATATATATAAAATGTAAATAAAATTATTTATACATGCATTGGGCTGAAAAAACAGTTACATGCAACTTACCCAGTCCAACAGCAGTGACAAAAAGGGCAATCCACGGTAGTGCAGTGGCGTGTCTCACGTGTCGTAACACGGTCATCATCTTCGAAAGGCTCTTGTAGTGGTTGAAGTAGAGACCGTACAGCGTCACTATCACCCAGGGAAATATCAAAGCCGCACTTCTCTGAAACGCAAAGAAATATTTCTACTACGGAGACTTACCTTACTATGCTGCAAATTACCGTAGACAAACCCCTGAGTAGCATCCATGCAGAAAAAGCTACGAGCACCACATCTTGCATGTTGAAAGCAATGGATATACCTAAAATAATAAAGTTTTATAAACATACTTAAATATATGGTTAAAAAGAGAGTATTTTATTTTTCACATAGTGAAAATTGTTATTATATTACTTTTAATTCAAATAACTGTGTTAAAATGCTACAAATTGTCAGATTTTAAATAAAAATAAGTGCTACCATCTAGTTAGGTTATATGAATCTACAATATTAAAATAATTACAGTTTTCTCCTACGGGAATCTGTAATAACCACTAATATTCAATATACAGTTCACAGATGGGGATGAGATAGCAAGTTAATACAAATTAGTTTCCTTTTAGATATATTCGCTGTTGCAAGTTGCTACATCTCGTTGGTAGATGGCGCAAAGATTCGATACATTTGGTGTTTTTCTCAGCTGATAGATGACACAAAAGTGTTAAAATAAATACATTTGAAACATCTCCAATTAAAACAGATTTCGATTTCTGTATTTGTAAGTCCTAATGCTAATAAAATGATTAGAATTAGAATTGAAATTGATTCATAAAATAGTCCGTGTCAATTTTATTTTCAATTTTTAAATATTGCTTTACAATTAGACAAGAAAAATCAAAGGAAGATGACATTATGCTGGTAGGATGTGACCAAACATGTCAATTGTTTAGTATTATGACAGTTTTTACAGGCTATATATAGCACACTTTTAACTACCTATTTCACTCCGATAGAAATTTGGATTTTTGGGCTAAATTGTATTTGCGAAAATGGAGTTTAAATCCAAGACGCGGCGGTGTAAATAATACATATTGTAGAAATTTAACAGCTCCTGTCTCCTATTCCTTTATATTTCAAGATTTCAAAAACTTGGATTTAATTACTTAAAATACTTATGAATCCAAACTAATTGTGAGGTTATGGTTTGTTTTATGGAAATGGTGGGGTGCCAACACTGCCAACGGTCGAATTCTTTCTTTGTTTTCTAATCCAGTACTAGTTTTCTAGCTTATAGATGGCGAAAAGGTAAAGTAAAAACAAAGGTTGAAAGACTAAAATACGTTTATACTATTTAACACTGGAGTTCCTACTTCTCGATTCTACAAATGTTGTCAAATGTTTAAAATTTAAACTGCGACTGATTTAATACGGGTTTGCCTTTTTCAACGTTGGCATAATGTTCTATCGTGATTGGTTGTCAGCCAACCAGAAACCAATCACAGTAAGACAAAGCTAAAATGCTACCATAGACCTAGTATAGTAAACTAAAAGTCTATGAAGTTATGAACGCTACCATTAATAAGAGAAAAGGTGGAATGATAATATCTGTTGCACAAGTCATAAATTATAGGTAGAATATGTTACAGTCGCTGTATATGGTACTTAGTTTAATAGTTTACACAGACGAGCCGGCGAAGCAAGAAGAGCGCCAGAAGAAAGGGCCCTAGCCGGCGGGGCCCAGCCAGGACAAAAGGAGGTCCCACAGAGCGCCTACACCGGCCGCATTTGCGGTCGGGGTAGACGACGGATGGGGCCGACCTACGAAGGCTGTCCAGGCCTACACGAGATAAGGCAGGATAAAGAGGGATAATCCCCCTCGATCCAAAATCATTGAGGCCAATTTCTAGCCATGGAATAATGGCGCGGCGCGGCGAGTTTAATAGTTTAAATTGTAATTTGTTGTTAAAAATGACCATATGTAGACAAACTAGGCTCAAAATCTTAATTAACTTTAACTTTATATTTAACAGTGACTTGTTTAGACAAGGAAAATCAGAAGTGTTAAATCCTAAGCTATTTCCTAAACTTGCCTGTGGTATTGGAGCTGAAGTCTGTCTTCGCTGCCGAGAAAATGGACGAGAACAACCACAACGACACGACAAGCAACGCGGGAGATTTCTGTTCGTTAAGAGACTTCAGGGCGGTGTCGGGAAAATTAGGAGCGGGGTTTTTGATAACTATTGTACTGCTTGAACTCATTCTTAACTCTAATTTGGAAGCGTCCATCAAATTACATTCACAACAGCATTTTGAAAACGTCACTCAAAGTTTGTTTCCCGGCATCAGAGCAACCTAGACGGCGAAGGCAAGCCGCCATCCAAATCCTGTCAGTGTCAGAAACGTGAAATTCGGAATGGTCCTGTTGTGAGGATCATGTACCACCTCGAATGGCTAATGGTTTTCGAAATATGAGAATAACGAGCCAAATTCATGATGAAACTCCCGTTCCACACCATTCTGGGTCCGATATTTAGGAAAAATCAGAAGAATATCAAGATACTTTGCGGTTATCCTGCGCTGCAGTTTGCCCCTATTTACGTCGCGATTCTGGGGGTGCTAGGAGTGGTAAATTTAGTTGCGAGCGGGGGCTGGTGTAGCCTAAAAACGAAATTAACGCAAGCCAGTAGTTTACCAAGTACGTAATTTTTTTCGGTGATAAATTATTACACTCGATATATCGTTTTGACAGCTATATTAACCCCTTTGCCTTTTAATTTGTTTTATTTTTATTTTTTCGTAAACGTAAAAGTAGTTTTAGCCGTAGTGTGAATACATCTAGTATGGTGTGCCTACGAGTATGTGGTGACGTCATTAACGAACAAGACTGACGAATCATGGCATATATAGTCCAAGCATTCTGTCACGGATTAATGTTAAATTTGCAGAAATTATTACCTGGACAAAAAAAATATGACCGTATAGAAAATTAAATTTTAAATTGAGTTTCTTGTTCTTTAAACTCGATCCAATATGGCGAACATGGTTAAAAAAAATCGCAAAGTTGAAAAAAACGGTTTTTCTAAAATAACTAAAAAAATATAGCACGGATTGAAAAATTTTAAATGAGAAAGTTGTAGGTTTTAAAAAGATCTATCGACTGATTTTTTGAAAGTATCGATTGCTTTGTTACTTTTCGAGATATATCGAAAAAACCGTTAAAAATCTTCTCTTTTCTCTTCTTCTATAACTCGTTTACATTTACGTGCCCATATTTGCTATTTACTGCAAGCATAGCCCGCGGCAAGCCAAAAAAGTACATTTTTGAAAAATTTAAAAATATTAATTATTTTTCGAGATATATCGATTTTTTGAAAAAAAGGCGCTCTCGAAAATTGGCTAGATCTTCTCAGCGGATAGCCCTACAGTAACGATTTTCGGTTTATTTTCTTCGTAAAGAGTTATATTATCATGCTGTTAAAAAATGTTGACGATTTTATTAATTTTAAGGATCAAAAAATGACTGAAAAAGTTGCACTTTTTTTGGGTATGTTTTTTTCAAATAACTATTTCAATTTTTATTATTTTTTTGTACTTAATCTGGGGTAGCTAAACACGAATATTATAGCATTTTCGCCTTAGAAGCAAAATAGACCCGTAAATGTTTAGTTTTCTTTCTTTAAAAGTCATTTTCATAAAATAAAAATTGAAATAGTAATTTGAAAAAAACATACCCAAAAAAGTGCAACTTATTCAAAGTCATTTTTTGATCCTTAAAATTAATAAAATCGTCAACATTTTTTAACAGCATGATAATATAACTCTTTACGAAGAAAATAAACCGAAAATCGTTACTGTAGGGCTATCCGCTGAGAAGATCTAGCCAATTTTCGAGAGCGCCTTTTTTTCAAAAAATCGATATATCTCGAAAAATAATTAATATTTTTAAATTTTTCAAAAATGTACTTTTTTGGCTTGCCGCGGGCTATGCTTGCAGTAAATAGCAAATATGGGCACGTAAATGTAAACGAGTTATAGAAGAAGAGAAAAGAGAAGATTTTTAACGGTTTTTTCGATATATCTCGAAAAGTAACAAAGCAATCGATACTTTCAAAAAATCAGTCGATAGATATTTTTAAAACCTATAAATTTCCCATTTAAAATTTTTCAATCCGTGCTATATTTTTTTAGTTATTTTAGAAAAACCGTTTTTTTCAACTTTGCGATTTTTTTAACCATGTTCGCCATATTGGATTTGTCCAGGTAATAATTTCTGAAAGCATTTCTCTATAATGCTTGGACTAATATGCTAGCATGAAAACGAGTGATCCATACTTCAAGGTTCCTTGGATGAAAATAATAGTATTGAGATTTAGATTAAGTTACTTTGGTACAACTTTACTGCTTTAAAATGTACAGGGCTTCAAAAAAATTGAACACCTGTATCTTTTTAAGGAACCAAAATGTAGTTTAATCTAAATTGGTTAATTTTCATTTAGTGAGGTAACTTATGAAGTATGGTCCCTTCGTTTCCGGACACCCTGTACATTGAGAATATAAGGTATTTGGACTTGGGGTTTGGGACATTCTTTTTTACCCATACGGTACATTTCCATTTATATGACATACTATGCTGTGAGGGACCTATAACCTCATGCAAGTAGTCATAAATTGTCACTGGAAAATGTAGTACCTAGCGACCTCTAGCAGACGTTCAAAAACTAACAAACTGATGTATTTCATGATACAAAGAATACAAGGTATAAGGTATGATATTCCCGTGAATCAAAATCGGTTCGCTTAGCGCATGACGTCAGCTGGAGATGAGTTCGTGCTCCTCGTCTAGTCTCCCTGGTCACAGGAACAAGCGGATCATGTTCATATATCCACAAATTGGCGTGTATGCACCATTACATCTCCAGCTGACGTCATAATATGGCTGCAGTTATGCGCAATATCATATCTTGTAGTCTTTGTATCATGGATGTATTTAGCATCCATAAAAACTGTCTGTATCTAAAAAACAAAAGACGAGATGGCCATAATCCAAAGGATATTTTTTTATAGTCTGTATCCTCAATTTTATTTCAACCATTTCTACAGTGTGGTACATATAAGTGAATTTTTTTAGATAGAATATCATGAAAATTATGATATTGCTAAATCATTGTTTCAATAACAGTTCATTGGAATTTTATTACCTCCTCTGTTATGAACTAGTTTTTCATAAAATTTTAGGGAGATACTTGGTTAGGTCTACATCATAAGAATAATACTTCATACATGATGTTCAAGATTCTAAAGTCCTCGATTATCTTTGTTGTGATACCGAAGAATCTACCTAAAATACAGGGTTTCCATTTGAAAGTATTTATTTAAAAGGGAATTTTAGACTATCGATCTCTAGAGAAAAATGTATACACCCTGTATAAAATAATTCTATCCTGTCCCATGAAATAAACATAGTTAAATGTTCCTCTAAAAAGAAAATTAATGGTATTCCATTAAAACAAATATTTTAATTTTTAAAAGGAGCCACTAAATGGATATCTATTTTTAAAATATAATTTGATAAAGTAAGTCTTTTTGATAGCGATCATTTATGATGAATGCTTTAAACAAATGTACGAAAAACCATGTATCTAACTAAACATGAAGATGGATACGTATCTACTAAAATCCAGTTGTTCTGTCAACAGCGCCATCTATTATTGTAAGACTAGCTCTCATAGCAGTTACTAGCGCTGTCTATTGTCCATAGTGGTACCATTACCACGTAATTTTGCGTTTTCACTCTTACCTGACGGTATAATACGATGAATTATCAGAGAAACCTTGTTTCAGATCCTCAGCATATTCGATATAGTCCGAATTATAAGATGTGGTCCAGTTTTACCAGGATACCTTTGGCGAGAGAGGTTAAAAGCAGGAAAATTGGTGACTCCTGAAGCTGAAAGAGACTGTAAACTGGTCTGCCTGGTGTTATCATCTGAATATTACCTGTTCCTGTTAGTTGGATTATCAACGGTGAGTAAACAGACGACATAAATCTAAGGCCTTTTTTTTCACCTCTTAATAATAAAAAATATATACGAGATACTACGAAATCATGCTATCTCAAATTTTGCTTGGAAAACATGCTATCTAAAATTGTACTTGGAAAACATGCTATCTATCATAAAGTAAGTTTGACTAGAACTTTAAGTTGGCTGCATTGGCGTTGAAATGTACATTGAATGTTTGAAACCGTTTACTTATAATAAACTTATTTTATATATTCTTCAAAAACTAAGGAATATATTTATGTTCAGGTACACTGTTTATTTTATTTTTTTCATTCAACAATTAATTTTGTTAAGTCACTGTTATAAACGACAAAATTGTTGATTTAAAAAAATATAATAATATGCAGTATGTTGCAACACGTACATTACTCGACGTTTTTAACAAATTATAAAAATTATTCGATTTTTTTCATACGTTTGATTTGATATAAAAATTAATAGCGTACTCTTATCTGATTTATAGTCATTACTCTTCCTTTTATTCTAAAAATAATTTTATATGCCTTAATGCGGACTCCAAGGAGACTACAATAAAAAGGATTATAGTGGACCAAGCTAGGCTCCAAATCCCGAATCCGAATCGTTTTTACCTGTACAATATGCCCATGTAGAGCAGCTCTATATCTGGATTGTATTGACAATTGCTCTTCAATTGCATTCAGATAAATTCTTGATTTTTATACAGTTTTGTATTTATGAATGTATAATTAAAAATATCAAACATTTTTCAGTTTTTTTGTGAAATACGGTTTTGACAATCGTTACTTTTCAAATAAGACCAACATGCAGCAATTTGTAGAAAAACCTCATTTATTCATAAAATTTCATTAATAGAGTTAATAGTCCACAGTACAGGCCCCCCCTGGAAAGTTGATTACTACATACTTTATAACTCCTGAGGCGCATCCTTTTGACGAGTCTACCACACTTTTCCTCTGCGACTTTTCTCGATTCCTCCGCTTTTCCACTTGGAAAAGTCCAAAAACATGGCAATTTCCCGGGGTCTTGAAAAGTCAAGACCACATCTTTTATTTCTAGCTTCAGTTACTGGAAATTTTGTTGCAAATGCCGATTCCCAACAGAAATTCTTCCGACATTGACGTGTCTACCGGTCGAAACATGCCAAAATAACCGGGTTTTGAAAATCAATTACCACATAGGTAATTTTTAGTAAAATTAATTGTAAATAATTAATTCAGTCAAAAAGTATTGTTGTCCGACAAATTTCAAGTCGCGTTTTTTTCAGGCCGAAAGCTGAAAATCGTAATTTTCACGCGGTATGATAAGTATGAAAGTAACACACGATAGAAAAGTGTTTTTTATAAGCAATAATTGTAATGTCCGACAAAAATATATCCGCAAATCGTCAGTCCGACAAAAAATGATGAAAAAAAATTCGTAAAAAATATACACTTGTATTTATAATTTCTAATAAGGTATTTTCATGTATTAAGCAAAATTCCATATAAATATACAATACAGGGTGTTTCAGAAAGACCTCCCATAAATACAGGGGGTGAAGACGATAAAAAATAAGAATTGCTTGCCGTATGAACTATATGTCTATCTCCTGTTTTCGAGATACAGAGCGACAAAATAAAATTTTTTAAATTACATTTTTATGAAAATTTCCAAACGGTGCGAAATATTTTTATGAAATTTGTTATTCCGAGGTTTTTAAGGATGCCAAATACGCTGCTATAATTACTTTTTGTATATTTCGTAGAGGGTGCTAGGTCTTGTTAGAACTAGAACTTCCTAATGTGGACGATTTTCGAGAAAAAAGGCTTTTAATTAATCTCTAACAATATTACGGTGTAAGTGACTTTTCTCAAAGCTCAAGCTTACTTTGAGAAAAGTCACTTATTTTATAGTGTAATATTGTAAGAGTTTAATTAAAAGCCTTTTTTCTCGAAAATCGTCCACATTAGAATGTTCTAACAAAAGTACATTGTTATTAGAAAATAAAATTGTACATTAGAAATTTTCGTAAAAATTCTATTTAAAAATTTTTATTTTGTCTCTATCTCGAAAACAAGAGGAGATAGACATATAGTTCATAAGACAAAAAATTTCTCATTTTTTGTCGTACTGTCACCCCTGTATTTACGGGAGGTCTTTCTGAAACTCCCTGTATATATTTTTCGTTTTATTCTTGTAATTGTAAATGTCTTATGCTCAATTTAGCCAAATAAATATCGAGAAAAGAATTTAACTGTTTCAAAAAAGTATGTATGGTGTAAAAAAATTATGCACAAAAGTTTTGGGATTTTCTTTTAGAAAAATAGGAAAATTTCTGTAAAAAAAATAACAAACGCGAATGAAAACTTGAAAGAGAAAAAAGGATTTTTGTCAAGTATAATATTAATTAATGTAGAAATAATGCATTATGCACTAATAATAAGATAGTATTAATCGTCTCAAAAATAAGTTCATTTGTTTATAACTTTTAAATTTTTAAGCATAAAATAAGAAATATTATAATTATTTATTTGAAACAAATAATAACTTACATAATAATAATTAATAACCATTTATAAATATGAAATTTTTGGAGTGAAAAAATTAAATTTCATCACGATTATTGATTTATCGATTTTTTAAATAATTTGCGGACACTTTTATCACTATTTTGTACAGTAAATTTAAAAGTGGAAAAAATGAAAATTAGATATGTGATAAAATCGATTTTTCATACCCCGTGAAAATTCCGATTTCCAGCTGGCGGACTGAAAAAACACGGCTTGAAATTTGTCGGACAACAATACTTTTTGACTAAATAAATTATTTACAATTAATTTTACTAAAAATTACCTATGTGGTAATTGATTTTCAATACCCTGTTATTTTGGCATGTTTCGACCGGTAGACACGTCAATGTCGGAAGAATTTCTGTCGGACAAATTTAAATCGGCATTTGCAACAAAATTTCGAGTTACCTAAGCTAAAAATAAAAGATGTGGTCTTGAGTTTTCAAGACCCCGAGAAACTGCCATATTTTTGGACTGTTCCGAGTGGAAAAGCGGAGGAATCGAGAAAAGTCGCACAGGAAAAATGTGGTGGACTAGTCAAAACGAAGCTCCTCGGAAGTTATAAAGTATGTGGTAATCAACTTTCCAGAGGGGGCCTGTACTGTGGACTATAACATAATAACCAGAATATAAATATAATGGATACAGTTGAATGATATGTACGATAAACATGTGTATATGTGGAACCGCGGATACGTGCACGTGCATATCATATACTCTGCGCCCGTCGCATCGATATCCAGCAGATCATAAAATACCGGTAATAAGTGTCGCATACCTGCATTTCATTTCCAAAGTCTATGCAAGCACACGGCTACCGTACCTTTAGAAGCCTTTTTTATTGAAGTGCAGTACGAACGATTCGGACACGGAGTTTGGGGCCTAGCCTGGTCCACTATACAATTCTTTTTATTGCAGTGTCATTAGAGTCCGCATTAGGCATATCAAAATATCAATTATATTATAAAACTGACTCTTTTTTTTATTTCAGAACAACCCAATATTCTTCCTCCCGTTTCTGATGCTGTACGCGGTGATAATTTTTCTGGAGTTGCTGATATTCTTCATTAGGGCCTTCGTGGAAGGCATAGATTTTAAAAAGTGCGGACTTATCATGTCTTTGTTCATGGTATACAACTGGTTGTCTGTTTTCTGTACGTTTGCGCGTGCTATGACGGCGTGCGACATATAACATATATTTTTAGAGCACAAAGAAAAATAAATGCCTTGTGAAGAAAGTGGATTTTTATTCTTTCCCAACCCCACCAAAATTGAAAATAATTGAAAGTGTGATAAAGTTAATGACACTAAGCGTTTATTTAAGTAAATTATATATTTTTTATAGACTTTCTATTTATTTAACAATATTTACATCAGAATAGAACACGTTACAATTTTTCACGAAAATAATTACCTGAAGTCGTCATTTGTCGCTAGTGATCAAATCGCAGTACTTCTTGTTGGCCGCAGAGTGCCTGCAGAACACCTTCAAAGACTCCTGCAGGACATCCTTAACGGTGGTGTCGTCCTGAGCCCTCCTGAGGTTCATCAAAATCTCCCCGAAGAACGCGTGGCAGGGAATCTTACTCTCCATGTGCAGAGCTTCGTCGTCGGCCGCTACGACTCCGCTGGGTAGTTTCTCGTAGTTCCTCTTCTCGGTGATGATGAAACTCAGCAGTTTCTTGTTGAAGATGGCGTCCAACGTTTTCTCCTCGCTGGTTTTGTTGACCGGGTGGTTGTTGGTGGTGTTGGTTTCGAGTTGTTTGATCGTAGGACTGAGATCGAAGCTTATGCCACCGTACTGCCAAAGTTGGAGCACCCTGACGGCGAAAACGCGTAAGTTCTCGTTGAGATAAGGCCAGTACGCGTAGAGGGGTGACATGTAGAAGACGTGGCTGTAAGTGGTGTTGTCCAGGATTATGTTGGGGTGGATTTTAAGAAGGTCGTCTAATGATTTTACTCGCTCGGTAGTCTTTTCTACTGAGCCAGTTGTTTTAGTTTTTTCCAACTTGTCTGTGTCGTTTAGCGAAGGGGATTTCCCATGCAGTAAGATATCCAGCAGTCTTTTTGCGCTCATGTTGATGCTCATTCTAAAGTCATTGGTCTTTCTCTTTTTCCTTTTAACTTCAATCTTCGTAGTTCTCTTCTCTTCGATCAAATTCGACGAAGCTTTCAAAGTCGTGGTGCTGGAAGGGTTAATACGTTCCGTCTCTTCCAAAATGCGTCTCTCGTGCCTGGACCTGGTCCTGGGCGTATTTTGCTGGATGAGGATCAAGTGGATTTTGTACTTGGGATAGTTTTCAACGATCCTTTCGAATAAGTTGACTTCCAAGGGGTCCCAATCGTCCGCGTGACGCTTGTGGACCAGGTGGATGGTGTCGTTGCTGATTTCGTCCTTGGGGATGCACCTGGGCACCCTGAGGCCTCCAGTGGAGATGGTGGACATGATGAGGAGGACCATCATGAAGAACAGCAGGCCGCTAAAGGCTGTAGTGACCCAGCACGTTCCTACGTAGTCTAAAATGAAAAATATGGCTGTTTTCAGTGAAGCTATTTAGAAATAACCTTTAGCTGGTGATACTGACTACACTCGCAATATCTAGTAGATAGCTAAGATCCCTCGTCAGCTGAATCACTAGGCTCAAACTAACTTATAACTTCTTATTGTTAAGTTTTAGGTGAGACTGTCGAGTGATTTAGCTGTTTGGAACTCTATCTATTGATATAGGAGTATAAGTGAGATATAACCTATCATGTTTTAAATATCATTGTTACTCAACCAGCACGAATCATTATCAATAGGCACCGTGTAGCAATGATCTAAAATATGACATATTTTACAGGTTATATCTCACCCACACTTATAACAATTCTTGAAAAAAGGGTGTGTATTCGGGAAACTGTAATTAATATTAAGTATTATAGGAGGATGTTTTTATATGATCCAATATTTATTACTATAAGAGATCAAACGTTATATTACGATCAAAATCATATTTCGAATATTTTTCCTTTGAAATTTTCATGTAAATGTTCGGCTAATATTTCTAAAAAAAAATCTGAAAAAATTCTCCTGAACTAATTCGATCTGTTTATAAAATAATAACAGGAAATTTGGTCAGCTACCCAAATACCTCCATTATGCAAGTGTTTTTAGACCTATTTGACAGAACTGATAACCTCTACTATAAATTATGTGTAAGTTCCTACGTATTTTTCCATAATACTTGGTGACTTTATGTAGTAATGTGCTATTTCATGGTGTTGTAGGTGAGTTGTTTTTAGGAATATCCTACAAGTATGTATACACATTTGCTTAAAAAATACACCAAGCAAAAAAATTAAAAGAACAGAAAAATTTCCAAAATTTGTTAGCGATTTTTGAAAGGCTGCAACTTCGTGAATAATGGTCATATCGAGAAAATGAATGGAGCATCTTGAAGCTTTTAGATTCTAGTTTTTAAAATCTTGAGATGAAAATTTTTTTTCGGCGCAATCAAAAGAAATAATGCAAGGCAACAATTTTACAATTTTTTTTTTCAAAACTACACATGGAGCTCAGAAAATTTATGGTTTAATCAATGCCAGGATCTTTTAGCATCATTCATTAGCTTAAATTTGTTTTTTTTTTAATTTTCTGTACGATTTTTTTCTCATTGAGATATCGGCCATTGAGTGAAAGGTCACCTTTTTTTTTCATCGATACCTCATGAGCTAATGCTCATACATCGAACGGAAGGTAGGTTTTAGAAACCTGAATCAATCCTTTTCAAGGGCTTTTTGGTATGTTTGATTTTTTTTATATACAGGGTGGGCCATTAGTGTGAGAAGTACGAGAATGTAAAATAACACCCTTGTTACTCATAATACAGAAAAAAAGTTTATATAAAAGTTACACAGAATCAAGATACCTAAATTACAGAATTAATTTGATACATACAGGGTGATGAGTAAAAACGGTACACGCCAAATATTACATTTTTTAATTGGAATACCCTGTATATTTTTAAACATATGGATTTCTGAGAAAATTCTGTATATAGCAATATAAACAGTTTATCATTTTAGTACGGGGTTGCCAAGTTATGAAGAAAATTCTTCGAATTTTGGAAAAAACATGACCTTGAAGAAGTTGTATTAACTTTCAGCTACTAACACTTGGAACAAAATAATTAGATTAGATTAATAGTTATAGGCAAATGTTAGACAAAGGCTCCTATATTAGCTAATATCGATATTTTATACAGGACATTTTTTATAATACGATCACTTTTAGAAAGTTTAAACTTGATTTTCTAAAATTTTTCAAATGGAACACCCTGTATTTTATTGTTTTATTTTATTCACATATCAGTCCGCTTCAACTTTTATTAAGCATGTTCTATATCTAAAATTGTTAGTTTTTTAGATATAGCAACATTTCTGAAAAAACTTAATTTTTATTATTGTATAGAATACCACAAATAAATATTAACTAATAAAATTAACTCAAAATGGAATTAAAAATTATGAACTGACAAGTTGACACAATGTGACAGTTTTTTCCAAAGCCATGTCGTGCGACCGAAAATAATAAAATTAGGTTTTTCCAGGAATGTTGCTATATCTTAAAAACTAACAACTTTAGGTGTAGAACATACTTAATAAAAGTTGAAGTGGCGTGTGAATAAAACAGAACAATAAAATACAGGGTGTTCCATTTGAAAAATTTTAGAAACTCAAGTTCTTAAAATGATCGTATTATAAAAAATGCCCTGTATAAAATATCGATATTAGATAATATAAAAGTCTTTGCCTAACATTTGCCTATAACTCTGTCAAATATTTTTGCTCAAAGTGTTAGTACATAGTTGAAAGAAACTTCTTCGAGGTCATGTTTTTTTCCAAAATTCGAATAATTGTTTACATAACTTGGCAACCCCGCACTAAAATGTAAACTGTTTATATTGCCATATATAGAATTTTCTCGGAAATCCATATGTTTAAAAATATACAGTGTGTTCCATTTTAAAAATGTAATATTTGGCGTGTCCCGTTTTTACTCATCGCCCTGTGTGTTTCAAATTATTTTGTCCTTTAGGTTTTTTGATACTGTACAACTTTTGTATAAACTTTTCTCTGTATTATGAATAACAAGGGAGTTATTATACTTTCTCACACTAATGGCCCACCCTGTATACTGAGCATTAATTTGAAAAAATGCAAAAAATTACTTTTTCTGCTGCTTTGGAAAATCAAAGACTACCTTGCAAATATTGCGAAAATTACCAATGTTTGTAGTTTTTTTTAGCTCATTGTATTGGTATGAATAACTTGAAAATAGCGAATCTTAGGGAAAAAATTCAAGTTACCTTTTTTACGTATTTTGTGCATTAGAATACAAATTCGTTACAATAACTTGTAAACAATTCAGTGGCGTAGGTTTTTTTTATAAAAAAGAGATGACCCTAGCCCAGTAGTACACCACTGGTTGTTCCTTTAGAGCTCTTATTTTAGGGAATGCAAGGTCTACTATCATAGATTATCTGTACCAAATTTTATTGAAATCCATTAACAGATTCCGGAGATATAAACAAAAAATCGATTATTTTTAACAACTTCAACACCCTGTATCTCTAAAACGATGCCGTTCCAGACCTATGTTTATAATCAAACACATATTATTTTAAAAAGATCTGTCTGCCCTGCGTAGAATTAGGACCACCCTGTATATAAAAATAAACCATTGAAAATTTAAGGTATTGTAAAAAAAGTATATCAAATGGTTACTAACAACTGCTCTAAAATGCGATAGAGCTTAGACTAGTTTTATAGTCACATAAATGTATTTTTGGTGTAAATCAAAAAGTTTTTAAATTGTTTTTCCAACAAATCGATAGCGATGTTTTTTTTTATTTGCAGTTATGGAATTAAAACCAAAACACCTCCTAGTGACCCTCTTACTATGTTTTCTGTTCAAAAAGTGTCGCCCTCTGTGCCAAGTCCAAACGGACCCAAACCTCGGCATCAGAACCATGTGCACCCTATCCAAAATCTCCGAAGGAGAACCACTGGACTTCGAACTAAAGGAACCACCGTACCTGTACCTCACAGTAGACGAAGGCGAAATCCCTGAGAACACCTTTGAACACGTCAGACCTACCAAGGAACTCTGGTTCATAGGCGTCAATATAACCTACATCCAACCTGGTGCATTCAAACACCTAGCCACGTTAAAAAGCCTAGCTGTGAGCAACACAAGCGTCGAAACGTTGTCGAAAAACACGTTTGAAGGTCTTCAAACATTAAAAACCTTGGCACTGGGCAACAACAAGATAAAAACAATAGAAGACGGCGCGTTTTTAGGCCTGACGAACTTGGATCAGCTCATCCTGGACGACAACAGGATCACCAGGTTGGAAGAGAAGACCTTCGACGGGTTAAAATTCCTGAGAGGTTTATTTCTCAACAACAATCCCATCGAGTACATTCACGATTCTGCTCTACAAAACGTAAAGGAGCTCACGCATCTCACCATAAGCATTGTGCAAGGGAAGAATGTGAGTGAACGGGCCCTGCAATTGCCTAGGGTTTTCCAGTTGAGGATATTCTATTTGGTGGAATAAGTTGGCATGTGTATTTGTAATAATAAAAAAATACATACCATGGCTTAGTTTTTTTAAGGGAGATACTATTTTCTTGTAAACTAACGCGTGAAAGTTCATAATGCGTGTATATGTGTGATAATTTAATAATGAAAATTGCTAGTTTATAGGTTTTGTTAAAGCGTGCCACACACGACCGTGCATATTTGAAAAAAATAATAATTTACGCTTTAAAAATTAGATTTACGAATATTTGATAAAAGTTATATTCAAAAGGTTGGAACTTGGCGAAAAATGGTCGTACAGCAATAAAAAAAGGCTTGGAATGTCTAGTTACAGGATCTGAGAGTAAAAAATTTTTAACGTTAAGAAATCAAGAGAAATCTAGCGGAAAAAATTTAAAAAACTTTCGCTTCCCTATCGAAAGATCAATTTTGTATGCAATCCCACCGGTCACCTCTTTTATACAGGGTGTTCCATCTAAGAGGGATTCTTCTGTAACTCTGTAACTGTAAAATTTATAAAAAAAAATGGTTTTAATAAAAGTTGTCTGGAATCATGTGGACATATTTTTAGCTTTACAAGGTGTTCCATTTAGGGATCGACCGATACCGATACATATATCGGTATATCGGCATTATCGGCCTCTTTGGCCGATTATCGGTATCGGCCGATATGTTGGCCGATATAGACCGAATATTATATATTTCTAATACAAAAATATTTTTGAAAATCGAGTAAAAATACTCGAAAAATACATAATTTATTTGTACAAAAGTTCTTTACCTAAAATAAATGATAAAATAAATGAAATCTAACAGTAATTAGTACTTATTGGTTTTAGCACAAAAAATCTAAAGAATAATTACTTATGTTTTAATATAAAAAATAAAGAAAACATAGGTATAAATAAATACATGTAAGTATATGTAATTAATTAGAAATGATTATTAAATTAAAACTATACTTAGACGCATGAGAGAAAAAAACAAAATGTAATAAAAAATGTGAAAAATCATCAAGACGTAAACATTATTTTAAAAATATTTATAATTTAATTTGTGGCAAGTTGTGATGTAAGAAAGAAACAGATTTTTTGCGTACAATACAAACTGGATTTTCAGTTTTCTCCTTGCTTTGACATATTTTTTCTAAAAACTTCCATAATGGACTTGATTTGGGCATTTTATTATAATTTTATTTTACTGGTTTCTATTACATTACTTTACACTGAATTTGCAGTTAAATATAAAACACTAAACGTAGACTAGGCAGTATCTGTTTTGGTTTGGGTGAATCGTATGTCCACAGAGATTTATGGCTTTTTGGCTTTCAAATATCACTAGATATGAAAATTTTTCTATGTGCATAAAAAAAACGTGGGCTTAACTTTTGGCGGCACAATATGTTAAAAAAATTCGAAAAATGTCATATTTCTCTTCCTATTTAATTATGTATCCTTTCAAGAGTTGATTTTAGGCGAAAATGGAAGAGGAAAAAATGTTTGTAATTAAATTTTTTGCAAAACATGACTAGTTGCAAATCGAATGAATCATGATTATTATGGTAAAAATCGAAAAAATCGCAAAAATGGGATTAAAAACAATACTTTTTAGGGAATTATTTCCCTATTTAATTAGGGAGTCTGAATAAGGTACACGTTTTGTTCACAGATGACAAGATAGAGTAATTTATGCCAAAACGAACTGTGAAAACTGCAGGTTTCTGACTCTTGCGCTTTAGACGCTAGGTATCTAGCCTTATTTAGAGAGCTGAAATTGTGATTTTTTAAAAAATAACTGATTATCTCGAAAACGGTAAGTTTTAAACACCATGCACATTTAATAAACTACCTACTTTTAACCAAGTAATTAAGAAATGCAATAATATACAGGGTGTTCCATTTAAATTAAAGTTGTGTCACGCCCACGCGAAATGGAACACCCTGTAAAACTAAAATTTTTTCTTTACATGTACCACATGACAGCTCTTATTAAAACCACTTTTTTTTATAAATTTTACAGTTGCAGAGTTACAGAACAATCTCTGTTAAGTGGAACACCCTGTCTGTATACGAAATACCAATTATTACTTACAGAAAAAATGAAAAATTTACGAAAATATTACATGAAATACAAGAGGCACAGTATAAAAAGTGAAATACCTACAGATATTTCCAATATTAATGTGAAACAGCGGATGTATGTAAATTTGTCGGATTGAGTTGTGTTAGAAGTGAATAAAAAGAAATAATAGGATATATTAAAAAATTTGGTTTACTCGTTATTCTATGATCACCTTTAATACAATTGTTAGGTAGTTATAATTTTTAGTTTTTATGTATTATTATTAAATTAATTCGAGTGACAAGGTCATATGTTATCAACGATTCAGTAAATTTAATTTGTGTATGTTTCTGTAACACTGTTATTTAAATAAACCTTGGTAGATGTTCTGTAAATAAAAATATTATTATAGCTATTCCTTTTTAGATACTAATGCAAGGATAAGGTCTAATACAAATATAAGGAAAATAACAAATAAATAATAGTGTTTAGTCAAAAACATAAATTGAATGTGCGGCAAATCTTTGTAGTGATTTCTAACAATTTATCTAAAATTTTACTCACTTGGAAATTGCCTGAAGACGGCCGTCGCGCCAGAGGTGATGCCATGGAATCTACCCTTGTCGAAATACTTCTTATTGGTCTTGGACAAGTCCTCGTTGCTTTCCACGACGTACAGGAGAAGGGGATGCTTCTCCTCTGTCTCAGTCTTCGACATTATACCTCAGGAGACATACTGAAGAAAATATTTTCAATTTGGTACAACTCTAGACTGATGTAAGGGGATACTCACGAGTTTCGATTTATTTTATAGATGCAGGTCCGATAAAAATATAAATAAATAAGTATAAGATCAGTGCTGTCAAAGTGACAGTAAAGCAATTTTGACACCGAACAATTACATCATCGTGAAATATGTAAAGATTTGTGAAACATTTCTTAATGGAATAAAATATTCCAGACTCTATCTGAAAACACTGATACTAAAGCCAGTTTATGAACCACTGAATATTAAATTATATATAAGTTCTGCAACATAGAAATTAATCTTGACCATCATGGCAGAAAATCAAGGAACTTATCTTTCTCTGAAATTTATACTGTTCGCGTGACAAAATCTTTATTTAGTAGTGAAAAGATTATCAACACGAATTTTGCTCTTTTCGTGAGAGAATGTGCTTAAAACAGGGTGTACTGTGAAAAAAATGCATACCTATACAGGGTGATTAATTAATATAAGAAATATTGCTCTTTTTCGTTTTACAAGACGTTAAAGTCAAACAATTTTTTTCGACATTTTGTACCTATAATATTTTTGATATCTTTGTACGGATTATCTTTAGAACTGAACTCTATTTAATAATTTCTTGCTAGAAATTTAGATTTTCGAGGGGCAAAAATGTAGACATATTTTTACACTGACAGGCGAGTGTAACTAGCGCCCCCTATAAGCGACTGCGACAGTTACCATATTCGTAATTGCCGTCTTAAAATCCATGAGTGTGCAAATTTTCAAGAGAATCCATACAAAAATACTAAAAATATTACAAAAAATCTAAAATATTCCTTCGACTTTAACACCCTGTAGAACGAAAAAGATCAATATTCGAATGAGATAAATTCAGTTCAATTGTCATAATTTGAATTTAACATCCTCTACGGTGTGTACCATTATTCAACACGAAAAATATTGCGCTTTTTCGTTCGTTTTACAAGGTGTTAAAGTCAAAAAAGTTTTTTCGACATTTTGTACCTATAATATTTTTGATATCTTTGTACGGATTATCTTTAGAACTGAACTCTATTTAACAATTTCATGCTAGAAATTTAGATTTTCGAGGGGCAAAATTGTAGACATATTTTTACACTGACAGGAGAGTGACAGTTACCATATTCGTAATTGCCGTCTTAAAATCCATGAGTGTGCAAATTTTCAAGGGAAACCATAAAGAAATACTAAAAATATTACAAAAAAAATCTAAAATATTCCTTTGACTTTAACACCCTGTAGAACGAAAACGAGCAATGTTCGAATGTTCCTCTACGATGTGTACCATTATTAATAAATCACACTGTATATTTATATTTTATGTAATAGCAATATTTTTCTGCATTTGCGTATGGAACAACGGTTTTTGAAAAAAATGGTGAAAACAATTAATACCTACAAGATAATTAATAACTAGATTTAATTATTTTTAACAATTCATTCATGTATTCAGTTTATTTAACTTTGCCAAGTCAAAAAATTTTGGAACGTTTTGTCACAGCTTAAGAGAACGAATACAGAAAATGTCACTTAGACAAGTGTTCAAAATCAGCTATACATTATCTTTCTTTTTTCATAGAATGTTTTCCGATTTTATAGAAATAAAGAAAGAAGAAAAATCTTGATAAATAATATTTTTTGTTTTATAACATGACATATGTCAAAAATTTTGAAAAATCAACCAAACGGGTCAGTCCATTTTCAGAACCTTTAAATTGTAAAAGTTTTAACATGAGATTATGGAGTCTATTCTGTAATACACTACACCGGGATTTTATCAAAATATACAAGATGGTTTCAAAGCTAGAACCATTAGAAAAAAAATTATAGGAAGTACTTACTTATCGGACACCTTGTATAGTCAAAAACTGAGTCTTCCTCGCACTTACTATATTCTGACAAATAAACTGAAAACAAATTGAATTTAAATTGACGGTACTTACGAACAGGATTTTTCAATTTTGCTTTTATCCTCATCACGTTGCACTCTTTTTACAATAAATTAAGAGTTGTATCGGGAACGCGATTCCTAGTATTATTTTATTTCCTGCGTGACTGTACCATCAACAATCGTCGCGGAAATTAATAATATTTATGAATTTAATAATAAACATTGAGTACAACCGGAGGTAAATACTAACAATCGCGTTGGTAAGAACACTGATATGTTTTTAAATTTTGTGTTTACTGACGGATACAAAAAGTACCTATAATATACAGGACGTTCCGTTTTATTGGTGTAGAGGCCATTAACATACAAATAAATAACAAACGAGGGTCAAATATATTTTTTAAGTACGTGTTAACAATGCATGTGTTTTTAAACCCACTAAACAAGACACTTTTAACAAAGTTGCATTCATTTTAACAATGTAATTTTATTGTGTAGGGTCAATGCAAGTTTGCTAGAATATTTTTTATACTTTAATAAAACAACAAGTTTTAGGAACATTTTATATCGCAACTTGCTGCAAGTTATCTAGTTTATAAAACAAACCTTGCAGAGATAGAGATAGATTACCACATTTCAAATTTGGCGGCGTGAAACTACATATTCTATCACGTTTGTGATTGGCTGTACTATGTAGTGCTATTACTGCTGTTGTTGTCTTTGCACTTGCATGGTCACAGTACGTTTTACTATGGATACAGAAAGAATAACAGTGTAATGTTGTGTTAACTTACTTACACACTTACACCTTACAGGGTGATTCACAACTTATACAAATAAATTTGGGAATAGATGGGTTATGAAAAATGGAGTCAATATCGTAAAAACATTTTGTAAAATCCTTATAGTTTCCGAGAAAAAAATTATTGAAGTTGTAGTATTTAGAACCCTTACATCGCCGGGCTACTGCAGTCTATAGCGTCATTCGCGTTGTATGCGATACCGAATCCTGGAATACGATTTTATTATTATCTAACGTTTTTGCGATAGTGTTTACATTAGTTTTTCACGTGGCAAAAATGGTTTACTTGTGTAGCAACTCGGAGTTGATGGATATCGTTTTAATTTATGGTGAAGCAAGGCAACATTTGCGTTATGGTGAAGCTAGACAACATTTGTGCTAGGGCAAGACGGCGCCAAATGTATTTACACGTCGGTGGACAAAATTTTGAACAGTTGTTGTAACATCAGATATGTCAAATTATTTTATTAATTAAAACCACAAAATAATTTTATTGATTAATAATAACAAAAGCGGCAACAACAATTGAATTTGTTGATATAAAATAGGTGTTATTCAATTTTTCTCCGTTCATTTTTTATTCCACTTTGTTGCTGTGCGGGTTGCCGACTGAAGGTCAGGTTTTACAGTGGACCAGTCTCCAGTGCCGTGAAGTGTATTTTTAAATAATTTTCAAACTGCCTTTTCGCATTTTTTTTACAAAATTGTATTTATAAGAGTCCTCTGTACATGCAAATTTCTTTTTTTGGTTAAGTTCTAAATCATCCTGTATAGTTCGTATACGTTGATATTCTTGGACTAGTGAAGTGACTCAGAATAATAAATAAATGCGTTTTTCTCGCCCACTTCCAAGTGGTCCAACAAGTCGCGACAAGTAGCGACACGAGCCGACTTTTGATCAGAAGTCAACAAGCGGGGACGAATTTCGCCGCGATTCTTCTCATTTGCGAATCTTCGGCTTAAATACATTGCACTGAGCTCTATGGAGGACCAGATAATTCAGCAAGTACATCGATAATACGGCTTCTATCCTTGTACACAAGCGTGTGAATTCTTTCCACGTTTTCATCAGTTCTGGACGTGGAAGAAGAGGTCGAAATAGTCGTAGCACGAAAACTGTCTCAGGGATTCGCTATCCTCGTCGCATGCAATGCCAAGTGGCAGACTGACTCGGGACTCAGGAGGGGTTACGTAACACCCATCTAGCGGGAGAAGTCCGAACTAGAAGAGCGGCGCGCACAGCGATTTTCACAACTTTTCACCAAGGATATTCGTTTAATTATGAGTGTATTAATATTATTACTTACCTTGGGTAGTTCCTGGCAGCAGGGCTCTATTTTTCTTGATGAATAAAACAAGAAATGTGTCATTTTATTTTAAAAAAATATTTTTCACATGATGAAAAGACGGTTATACTCTTTACATTTATTATTTGACAATTACATCGGCTATCGTATCATTCGAGCACTAACCTAAGTACATTATAAACTAGGGTTGGTAAAATAAATTAACGGAATTTCATAAGGCACAATTTTGTTAGTCTTTTTCAATAAATATGACAATAAATAATCCCGAAACCAGAACCCGCTTGCCGGCCGCCTCTGCGTCGAGAAGCGGCCGCCAAAGTTATTTCGCTATGAACTAAAGGCAAGTTAGTTCAAAGAAAATCAGTCGAATTTACAATAATTTAAGTTATTGGTCAATTTAGGCGGAACGTAAAAATACTGGCGAATCTAGGCCCTCAAATCGCCCCACGAGGGCGGATTGAACCAACCAAATCCGAGAGCATTTTTCTTGGTTAATGCAACACCTAGAAGTCTATATTGGCACTTTTTCTACGCCTCAAGGAGACGTTGTCGTTTTCCGTGGGGATCTCCCACCTGGTGTAGAAGATGTCGCTTCCCCTACAAGTGAGGAGCCTCGACATCCTCTCGCACCTCCTGCTGATCTTCCAGAAGGCGAAGTCTTGGGGGCACTGGTACATGTACCCTTCCAGCCTGCCCGTCCGTTGGCTCTGGCACCTTATGAAGGTGGTGCTGCACTCGGTCTCCTCCGCCTCGTGGAAGCCTTCCAGGGGACAGAGGGGCCTTCTACTGGTTATCTGCACCTAAAGACAAAAAAAGTCGGTTTGAAGGCTTCTGTGGTAGTTGTTAATAGTTGAATAATTTCCAGGTTAGTTACCATGCCGTCGGTTTCAATTGTTTGACGTTTCGAGGGAATATTACTTTCTCCCTCCGAAGGAACTCTGAAATTGAAGATTAAGTCCGCTCTCCGGTATTTATCTTGACTGTGTGCGCCGATCCAGGATGTTGTGGTGCACGACTTGTAGTCACTGATCCATTTGTCGTTCTGGTCCATGATTGAAATTGCAGGTAGTTCTGACCCCTTATCTTGATTAGTATTGTTTCGATTCTTGGTCAAAATCTTCTGTCTCTCTCGCACGCGAGCAATTCAGTCTATCGCGTGTCGTGTATCTGCTCAGTGGTCTGCACCTACTGACTTTTCAACGTTGTTAATCTTCATGTAACACTTGTGCTCTTTTACGAAGTTAAAAGAACACAAGTGCCACTTGAAGAAACAACAACGTTTCCAATGAAACGATGATTTTGACCAAGACTTTACAGGATACAATATAAATTCAGAAGAATTGAAATATTTTCAAACCGAGACAAAAGGTTAGAACTACCTTCAATCCGCAAACATCAAGAACCAGAAAGAAACAAACAAGTGACTACAAGTCGTCAGGAAACATAATGGATCAATGCGCACGGCCAATATAAATACCGGCCAGATGACTTTATTTGCAGTTTCAGTGTTACATCAGAAGAAAGACAATATGTCTTTCGAACTGTCAACATGGAACCGACGACGTAAAAACTGTTCAACCAATTTAAAAGATCAACTGATCTCACGAACTGATACTTACCGGTGGTAACGAGTTGTCATCCAACCACCTGTACAGCCTGCTGCTCGCTATTTGCCCTTTGCAGGCCTGGGTCTCGTTCGGAGGTAGACACTGTATCTTGTCGTTGTCGTAAATCGCACCATCCGGACAGCTGAGCACCAAGATCTTATAATCGTGGTTGTTCTGGCCCTTGGTGCACTGGTAAAACAGGTTGCAATACTTCGGATGCCTTCTGAAACCAGTGGGACAAATCAGAGCCACTTGGTCTCCCTCTAACTGGCCTATGGGACAGGGCTCCATGGTGGTAGGGGGTTCCGTGATGCCAGTATTATCCCCTTGCGTGGTGGAGGAGTAACCGACCTCAGTGGTAGTAGAAAGAAGTGTGGTACTTTCCACGGTACTGCTGAGAGTGGACGACTCAGTAATTCCAGTTGATGACCACCCAGACGTGGTAGTCTCACCACCTAATGTGGAAGTACTACCGATCGTTGAAGTTACCGGAGGCGTCGAGCTTTCCGTGAAGCCGCTCGAGGAAGTTGTACTGGTGTAGTACTGAGTAGACGTCCATCCAGCAGTTGAGGTAGGTGGAGGGGTGGAACTTTCTGTCAGGCCACTTGATGAGGTAGTGGTGGTGTAGTACTGCGTGGAAGACCACCCTCCTTCAGTAGAAGTAGGAGGGTTTGTGGTGCTGTCCGTGGTAGGCGTGCTCGCACCTACTGTGGACGAGCTCGATTCAGTGGTGCTGTCTATGGGTGAGGTTGAAGTCACACCGCCTGGCTGTAAATTGAAAATTGGTTATACCAGAAGCTTAGTTAGAAAGGTCAACGCTTACTGATGCGGTTGAAGGCTCTGGAGGTTCGACAACTTGAGAACATTTTCCTTTTACTGCATAAGGATAATTGCAGGTGATAGAGTCAGGATCCCAAACGGTTCCTTTACCACAAGTGAATTCGTATCTTGTGTAAGCGTTGTTACCACCACTCACGCATCTGCAAAGTACAATTTTTTAAAATAAACGTAAAGGCATAAATAGTTAGAAATTATTCTTTCAAAATCTTACGCTTAGACTAATTATGGACCAACCTGTAAAACTTCTTGCAGTCATTGGGATCTCCTAAATAACCTTCTGTGGTACAGCTGGTTCCAATCCCACTAGATACATTGGTCGCGTTCCAAGAAGAACCCTTAAAATATTCTGGTCAATATACTAGACAGTAAAGTTTATAGCAATCAATTAATACCTGGTTACTACCGCCTTGTTGACTGCAATTTTGGTTATTTGAACCTTGTTGACCGCCTTGCTGATTATTCCCTTGTTGATTATTACCTTGTTGGTTGGTCCCTTGCTGATTTCCACCCTGTTGACCAGATCCCTGTTGGTTGGTGCCTTGCTGATTTGATCCTTGTTGATTAGAGCCTTGTTGGTTAGACCCCTGCTGATTGTTACCACCTTGTTGGTTGGTGCCTTGCTGATTTGATCCTTGTTGATTAGAGCCTTGTTGGTTAGACCCCTGCTGATTGTTACCACCTTGTTGGTTAGAGCCCTGCTGGTTACTACCACCCTGTTGATTTGATCCTTGTTGATTTCCCTGTTGGCCGGATCCTTGCTGATTTCCTCCTTGTTGATTAGAGCCTTGTTGGTTAGAGCCTTGTTGGTTAGACCCCTGCTGATTACTCCCTTGCTGGTTTGAACCTTGTTGGTTTGAACCTTGTTGGTTTGAACCTTGTGATCCTTGCTGATTACCCCCTTGTTGGTTTGAACCTTGTTGATTTGAACCTTGTTGGTTTGAACCTTGTTGGTTAGATCCTTGCTGATTACCTCCTTGTTGGTTTGATCCTTGTTGATTAGATCCTTGCTGATTTCCTCCTTGTTGATTAGATCCTTGCTGATTTCCTCCTTGTTGATTTGAACCTTGCTGATTACTCCCTTGCTGGTTTGAATCCTTGTTGATTAGATCCTTGCTGATTTCCTCCTTGTTGATTTGAACCTTGTTGATTAGATCCTTGTTGGTTTGATCCTTGCTGATTTTCTCCTTGTTGGTTTGAACCCTGCTGATTATTATTTCCTTGTTGGTTGGTACCCTGGTTTGAACTTTGGGCATTATTACATTTTCCGCTAACGGCATAAGGGTAATTGCAAGATTCTTTAGTTTCATCCCAAACAGTTCCTTCGGCACAAGAAAATTCGTATTTGATAAATCCATTTTTACCGTCATTTACACATCTGTAGAACTTTTTGCACTCATTATCATCTTTGACAAATCCTTCTTTCACACACTGATTATTCACAATCTGTCCTGGATTAACTGTCTGATTTGTTGTTCCTTGTTGATTTTGTTGATTCTGCTGGCCACTTCCCCCCTGTTGATTTTGCTGACCATTTCCTCCTTGTTGGTTTTGTTGGTTCTGGTGGTCGCTTCCTCCTTGGTTTTGTTGACCTTGTTGATTCTGACCTCCAGTTCCTCCTTGCTGATTTTGTTGGTTTTGTTGACTGCTTCCTCCTTGTTGATTTTGTTGGCCGCTTCCTCCTTGTTGATTTTGTTGATTTTGGTTGCTAGATCCCCCTTGTTGATTTTGTTGATTTTGCTGGCCATTTCCTCCTTGTTGGTTCTGTTGATTCTGCCCATTTGAGCCTCCTTGCTGATTCTGCTGATTTTGTTGACTACCACCTTGTTGGGTTTGCTGATTTTGGGCACTGCCACAATTACCTCTCACAGCAGAAGGATAATTACAAGTTAAGGAGTCTTGGTCCCAAACCGTTCCGCTTGTACAGTTAAATTCATATCTTGTATAGCCGCCTCTTCCATTGTTTACACATCGATAGAATTTGCTACAGTTTTTGTTATCTCCGATAAAACCTTCTATAGTACATTGTTGACCAGAATTTTGTTGATTTGAGCTTTGTTCATTTGACCCTCCCTGTTGATTATTATCTTGCTGGTTGGACCCTTGTTGATTACCACTTTGTTGATTGGAGCCTTGTTGATTTGACCCCTGTTGATTTTGTTGGTTTTGACCAGAAGTTCCTTGTTGATTCGATCCCTGCTGGTTCTGTTGATTCTGACCTGAAGATCCTTGCTGATTTTGTTGATTTTGGCCAGACGTTCCTTGCTGATTCTGTTGATTCTGACCAGACGTTCCTTGTTGATTCGATCCTTGCTGGTTCTGTTGATTTTGACCTGAAGATCCTTGCTGGTTTTGTTGATTTTGGCCAGACGTTCCTTGCTGATTCTGTTGATTCTGACCAGACGTTCCTTGTTGATTTGATCCTTGTTGGTTCTGTTGATTCTGACCAGACGTTCCTTGTTGATTTGATCCTTGCTGGTTCTGTTGATTCTGACCTGAAGATCCTTGCTGGTTTTGTTGATTTTGGCCAGATGTTCCTTGCTGATTTTGTTGGTTTTGACCAGATGTTCCTTGTTGATTTTGTCCAGAACCTTGTTGATTTGAGCCTTGTTGATTGCTTTCTCCTTGAGCAGTGCCACATTTACCTCCAACAGCGTATGGATAGTTACATGATCCGGTAGTTCCATCCCAAACCGTTCCATCTCCACAATTAAATTCGTATTTTGTAAAGCTATTCTTGCCGTCACTGACACATCTATAGAATTTCTTACAGTCTTTATCATCTCCTACGAATCCTTCTTTTACACAAACATTGTTAATTATCTGACCAGTCTGGATTTGCTGATTAGATTCCTGTTGGTTAGACCCTTGTTGA